GTTTAAGAAATTTGCTACGATTAAACGCATTACATCGAATAACTTCTTGGATTATTGCACCTGACTTTATAAAGAAATCACATTTGAAAGAGTCAAGTCACCAAATAGGCCTATTGTTTTCCTGAAGAGTAATTAGAAACAATATTTCAATGATTAGTTTAAGAAATATTCTAAAGACTTCGACTAAACCGTTAAACGCATTACATCAACGCATTTTAACGAAATCGCGTACTTGTGAGCCCACTAGAGGTCACATATTTTATGCAACTTGAAATATATGTTTATATATCCCAAGCATCTCCGCGGTCACAGAAGGCTGTGGAATTCTGAATATCGATAAGGTTCGTCCTCTAACGAACCCAATGCTTCAGATAGAATTTGAATAAAATCTAATAAAAAATGCTGCCTTTATCGGGTTCACGGGGTTTTCGGAAAGGGGGGGGGGGGTAACTGGAAATAGAAAGTAGCGGAAGGCCGAAATTCGATAGGATTCGTTCTTTTATGAACAAATTTGAAACAAAATATCCGTTAAGTATTGAAGCATCTATCGCGCTGTTAAGCCAATTGTCGACAGCCAGTATAAAGTAAACTTTTCTATAGATTAAAGATATATTAAAGTACTGGGGCATAGGGGTTCCGAGCCCCCCCCCCCCCCCAACACACACACTTACGACCCAGAAATTGAAAAGTTTAAGGATGAGAAGGATGAGAATGCCTTATGCTTATGTTACAATTGTGATGTTAACCTTCAAATGTTAAATTGTTTAAGTGGCATTTAGTGGCTGAAAGTAGCCTAAATAAACTCTTCAAGTAACTTGTATTCCATATAATTGTGTCATGTGTTATTCTCATCCAGTTACTAAATGCCACTTAAACAATTTAGTTCTAGTATGTGTAGGATAAGGCACGAGACTGAGCATAACCGAAGTCGGGGACTTTATCTTGCTTATAAACCATCTATGTTTACATGTATGCAAAATGAGAATATTCCAGAATTCCCGTAAGAAAAGCCTTATAGCATGTGCTACCTTTGACGTTACTCGAGCAGACATCACTAGCCTAATCGTCGGGTTGCCGGTTAGGGAAACCTTTACATTTTTGCCCTGTATGCAATCCATGGGTGTTTTTCATAGAATCCGGTATTTTTCTAGTAAGATTGGGTGTTTCTACTTTCCATATATACCAAAATTGCCATACTTTTATTGGAAATTAATCTAATAGTCTGGAGGCTCGGTGCGGGGGGGGGGGGGGGGTCCATCAAATGGGCACAAAACCAGACCTAACTTTTCTAGAGTAAAATTTTGCGTAGAATACGATGCCTAGTGGTAATCAGTCCGCTGTTCGGGCGTTTTCGAAATATTCGGGGTCAAGGGTCAAATGGATTCATTTGCACTGAAAGTAAATGCGCAGTCATTCTTGTATCATGAAAATAAGCTGAAATAAAAATGTAAACTTGCTAAATTCACCTTTGTTCTTTGTGATCCCAGAGGTCAAAAGGTCACATTTTCCGTTTTAGCACTGGGAAGATTTAAAGTAATAAATGTCATCGTAAAATATAAAAACTAAAGCGAATCTTGTTCTAATTAATAATAGGAACATTGAAAATGTATCTTTAGGTGGGCTCAGCACCAAACTTTTACTTTGGAACGTCGAAAATGATCTTGCATAAGAGAACCAAAACGCTTCGGAACCTGTTTCAAAAATACGTAAAAACCGTTAAATCAAAATCTCCCGAATTAGTTTTACTACGAATGCTATACATAATGATACTAGTTGTCTGAAAAAACAATGGAATAGTTTCATGGCTGGACTCCAGCCTGCAGGTCGCGTCGCAAAGCCTGGCAAAATTTCCCCCGCTAACATTCCCCAATAGAACATATCCTGTGAACTACTATGTACAATGCCTTCGTCGGTTTTATCCGCGTACATGTTCCGGCGAAAATCATAAAAACTCATAAAAAATTTGCAAACTTTTAATCTAGTCGTCAGATACGTGTTTTCCCGTTACAGATTAACGTCGGTTTTTCTAGACTGGTATTCTCGGAAATCCACGCGGCCTGCAGGCGGGAGTCCAAAACTGAAACTATTCAATTGTTTTTTTTTCAGATAACTAGTATTTATTATGTATAACAATCGTTGTGAAAATAAATCGGAGAGGTTTCGATTTGACAGTTTTTACGTATCTTTGAAACAGGTGTGTTGGTTCTGTTATGCAAGATCATTTTCGACGTTCCAAAGTAAAAGTTCGGTGCTAAAACCCCCTAAAGATAAATTTTAAATTTTTCTATTATTAATTAGAGCAGGTTTCGCTTTAGTTTTTATATTTTACGTTGACATTGTATTGCTTTAAATTTTCCTAGTGCAAAAACGGTAAATTTCCCCTCTTGACCTGCACGGTCACTAAGACTAAAGGTGAATTTAGCAAATTTACATTTTTATTGAAAGTGTGATTACTTTCGATCATTTTCACCTTCTTTTCATAATACAAGAATGACTGCGCATTTACTTTCAATGTAAATGAACTTATTTGACCTTTGACCCCGAATATCTCGAAAACGCCCCAACGGCGGACTGATTACCACTCGGCATCGTATTCTACGCAAAATTTTACTCTAAAAAAGGTTGGGTCTGGTTTTGTGCCCATTTGATGCCCCCCCCCCCCCCGCGCTGAGCCTCCGGTCTATAATAGAGAGTTTCCGCAACCGGTACGAAGTACGAACACGACTTCGTACTTCGTACTTCGTTTTTGACAGGTTCCGCAACCAGTACGAACTACGAACAGGGTTTCGTACTTCGTACTTCGTTTTTGATCCGCCAAAATGCGATGTCCGAAGTACGATAGTTCCATAGATGTCGCCAAGTGTCTTGCGAAAATCAAAATGGCTGCTCGCAGAGAACTTGTCGAAAATTTACTTCTGTTAGGTGAAGATTTAGACGATGGTGCACTACTTTTCCTACAACCAGAGCACACAGAAAGAACATACGACCCCACTAAGCCACAGACTCGACTTGAACATTTTAGTAATGCCCAATGTAAGATTTATTTTCGATTTTTTAAACAAGACATTTATCGATTGTCACAAGCCTTGAAAATCCCTGAAAAATTTGTTTTACCAAATAGATGTGTGGAAGATGGGACACAGAGTCTTTGTATTTTTCTGGCTAGACTAGCTTATCCGAACCGGCTGAGTCATCTCGAACAGCTGTTCAACCGCCCGCAAACTACAATTTCAATGATCATTCAGGCAGTGCTAGATTTTATTTACGACAATTTTCAACAGAAGATCAGTGTTTGGAATCGACCATCTCTCACCAACACTTTTCAGGAGTTTGCGGATGCTGTGCATAGAAAAGGTGCACCTTTACGGAATTGTGTCGGTTTTATTGATGGAACCGTTAGACCACTATGCAGGCCAACCTATTTCCAAAGAGCATGTTACAGCGGTCACAAGAGAGTACATGCAATCAAATTTCAATCCCGAAAATCCTGATGAACTTTCTCAGCCAACGCATTTTAGTTTTCATTGATTGTCATAGTAACGCAAAATTGAAATCGAACATGAATACAAATCTAGTGAAAACAAAATTGATATGAATACAATAACTAGTCAATTTTATCAGTTCTGAGATTCTAGTTAGATTTCTTCATCAAAAATTCCAGCATCATACGAGTATTCTCTGCTTCTGCTTTCCGCGCTCTCACTTCCTCTTCATGTATCTTCAATTTTTGTTTTTCGATCTTCAACTCTTCTCGACGTAATTCTCTGTCCTTTGCGTTTTTTTCAGACAGGTATTCCACAAGATCAATCTTGCGCTTCTTTGATAAGGTTGGGGTCACAGGGCGAGAAGCATCATTCTCTGTGTCAGAACCATTTTCTTCAGTGTCCTTTTCAGCTTTGTTCACATGGCGCTTTAAAGTTTTCATAGCTTCATCACGAATAATGTTGCCCTTTTTATCCAGCTCTGACTTATCACTCTTTATTTTTTTATTTTCCTTACAGTGTTCTTCTTCCATTTCAGTTATCAGCTGTGACCACTCTTCCAATAAATCCATCAGTTCATCATGACTTTCGTCAACACCAGATGCCTTACGAGATTTGTTTTCTTTCTGCTTATGATTTTTCCATAGCGAAATAGCCCTTTCCTTAGTTTGCCGTATAGTGACACATGCCTTTTGATCGGTTTTAGACACTCGTTGATGTTGCATACAACCCGGTTCCACTGATCAGCTGTTGACTTGCCCTTGTTGGGATTTATACCACAAGCTATCACTTCTCTTAATAGTGTAGTATTCACAGAACCATTCACATTGTTGTCCTCGGCGTCAATCATTTTGGTTCACCTGAAATAAGGAATAAATGAAATGAAATGGGGTTTAACATTCTATTGTAGATTCTATTCTACGGGTAGATTTTAAACTTGACATCCTCGTATTTCAACACTAACTTCTTCTGTATTCTTTTTTTTTACAAGGGAATTTGCCCTACAACTTACTATAAATGCCCTGACTATGCTAAATCTGTCTATTGAGGTTTTTTCTGGTTTCAAAAAATCAACTCGGGTGACCTAGATTGATATTGAATTAATTAGACCACCCGCACAATATAATCGGTTAACCGCTATCTATCGATTATCATGACAATGGCACTTGACAATCGGCTATTTCTTGTCAAAACTTCGCTAATATGCAATTTGACAGAAATTTTCATTCTTGCATTATCTTTTTTTAACTATTAGACCAACTCTTTATCTAAATCTTACAAAATGTATCTTTAAGGATTATTTTAAGAGTCGGTTTGGTAAACACCGACATGTCGAGTTGTAAAGGAATTTTTACAAAAAACACAATAATTCCTAATATAAATGTAGGTTTTATCAACCTTGTTAATACGTAATAAAAACGTGCCAATTTGGAGTTAAACAGCACATATTATTTATAGTTCCTAAAAAATGTATAATAATAGATAGTGTCAATATGTATACTGCAGTCACTTTCATAGAAATAAATACACATTTATTCATCACCGATGTTTTATTATATTCATCGCTTTATACATAGTGTGAAAATAATAACACACGGTTTTTGGAGCTAACGAAGAAAGAAACAACTTTAAACCACATGCATAGGAGTCAAAATTATTTTACTTACAAAATAAAATCATATATGACAAGCCACCTGACAACATGAGATCTATAGTGATAATTTTTGTTTCAGTAGGTAAGTGAAATAAGTTTTGTAGTGACCTTTGACGCGTCTAAGTTAGACTTGCCTTAAAATCTGACGGTCTCTGTTTTTTTCTATCATAAAAAATGGGCCAGGATGGAAAAGAAATTACATCAAAAACAGGCCGTTTTTCTCATTCAAAAGAACCACGGCTACAGAGTTTGTGTTAAAAAAGGTTTATTCAAATTTGATATATTTTAAACAACCCTAGATATTACACCTATTTAAAATAGGTAAGTGCTCATCAAATTTTGGACTTTTCATGAAAAGGATGTCCAGTCACGAACTATAATATAGGCTGCCATAATTTTTATTTCCATAGGCCATACTCTTGGGCAGCAACTACTTTTATAATACTAATATTTACGCTTAAGAGGCCTTCGCCGCGGTATTAAAAATTCAACGGTTGCATCAGTGATGAATAAATTAGATTGTATTCGAAAAACTAGACAAATTTAATATGGCAATCCCTCGCCGAGATACAAGATATTATGAGTAGTGTACGTTACTGTATATGGTGGCTTATATATGGCACTTTTAAAGGCGTTCACCAGACGTTCCTACAAGATGACTATTCCAAGTTTAGTGCATTGATTTTCGGAAATAATGTATGATTATTCAGTCTGAGAAAAGTTGAAAGGGGCAACAACGATTTAAATCTATGTAATCCATATCATATACAATCTCATTTACATCCTTTGTTTTTAACCCAGTTATAGCTTCGAGAGTATCGTCTGTTCCACTGGATTGTTTCGAGGAGCATAAGGAATGCAACAAAAATTACGTTCAAGAGGCACATAAAATTAACAGTACACAGGCTGACAAATGCAAGTGAGTAGAAGTATTGGTATCGGGTAGAATTTTATACTTATAGAAATTGCACACCATGATCAACACGATGCCCGGGTGCTTTAAAGGCCGGGTGTTTGTAACCGAACATTTGAAGATGTGATGCTATATAAAGAAACTACAAACGATACCTTTCGTTACTGATCACTATACTTCAATTTAATGAAAATCAAACACGATTGTAGTAGAAAGGCTTTAATGTGAAATGAATGAAAATATGGGGTATAACTGCCAAATTTTCGGCACCAACCGAGCTAATAAAGACGGACCATACAATAGAAGCTGTTTCTTGCCAGGTTTTCCACCCAGTGGGTCTCTACGTTACTGCTTACTTTTTGTGACCCAGGGAATCAAAATGTCGGAAATTTAAATTATTGCTTTCCAAATCATAATAATATTTGCATGTTTTGGCTGATTGATCAAGCAGGTCTTAGCAACAAAATAATTAGTGATCTGACTATACAGTTCAATAAGGCATATTCAAATAAGATTGTGTGCAAACCCCTGTTCATTAACCCGTTCGATGTAGAAAAGTAGGACGTTAAACCCCATTTCATTTCATTTTATGTGCCAGATATGAGACAGATGTAAAGGTCGTCAAACACTCGTACAAAATGCTTTGCTATTACTGGATCAATTACTGGATCAATTCTTCTGGTTATTGGGGGGTTGGATGGCCGAATTCCCCGGTTGTACGTGACAAGAGTAGGGTCGCCTGTCCAAACTCGTGGGTTTTCTCCGGGTCCTCCGGTTTCCTCCCACTGCTAAAGACCCCTATGCGCATGATTGAAATAAAATTAAACCATGTGTTAGTCCCGAAATGACCTAGTTTGTGTCGAGTGGACGTTAAACCCCATTTTTCTCTCTCTCTTCTGGTTATTATTTCTGTTCAAATTGATGTCTCTAATTTTTCATAGATTGATAATAAGAATCATAATTTCAGAGCTTTTGGTAGATATAAAAATTGTTTATTAGTAACAGAATGTTATTATGGTCAGTACAAGGCAAACTCAGACATGGCTTATGTTTTATGCAGTAAGTAAAATATTATTATTATTATTATTTATTCAAGTACCAATTCAACGGTAATGTCAAAGCCGTAGTGCCGCGGTCTAGACAAAATTTCATTCATAGCACACTGTAATGGCGTACGCCCGCCTTTATTAGCCCGGGTAGGGCGGTGGGTCTGGGAAGGAACGGCGTCTAGTCGTTCGGATAGGTTAAAAAAAAGAACACAAAATGGTCCCGTGCATATGTTGATGTGCCTGTCAAAGACCCCTTGACAGTTGGGATTTAAAATAAGCTAGGCCATAGTGCCATTAAACTCGCAAAATTTTATCTCGTAGCATACTATATAATTCTTTGTTTTTTTGGGGATTTTTTTTATCCATTTCGTTCTCTTCTAAGAAAAATGACATCATAGTTGTGTTGATTGACTTGGCGGAAAGCTATCTCGCTTTCCATTTAAATTATGGTCAAGATTTGTACATAGCCATGTATAAAATTCGATTTTCGTCGAATATGATTTTTTTCTCAATCAACTTTTGTTGGCGGATACATTGTGCTTTAATACAGTTACAACCGATTTTAGCATTAAACTCGTATAGATGAAAGGTATGGATGACAGAAATGGGGTTTAATACCCTACCTTTAGTAATTAAGACGACTATACACGGTTTCTTGTCAGGTTCAAGGATGTCCGTCGAAAACACCGGGATCTAATCCTGGATCTCCAAATTATTTTTTTTTTTTAAGATTGTGTAATTAACTATTAACCTTTTATACTTTATTAAATCCAGTGTAGGATTATTTACATATTTATATTTTTTTTTCTTTTTAAGGTAGCAAGGGTGGATCTTCTGTGGTGGTTTACAGCGAAATATTTTTATTTATTAGTATGCTGTTGGTCATATGGCAAAGATACGTGCTTCCATTTTATTAAAACATTTAAGGAATCTTTATTTATCTGTTGGGTCACTTCAAGTTTTGCGATGAACACTGTTAGTGTAGAGTTATTTAAACAGTACAGATTGTGCATATACATGTACATTCACAGATATTTAACAATAAACTATGGAAGAACAATAAAAAAAATTGGCGTCGTTTCGATGATTATTATTCTCTCCACGTACGGAAGCTAAATCGGGTTTTGTTTTTATTTAGCTTTAAAAACGATGGTATAGGCATGCAGAATAAACAATACATTACCCACGTGAGAGAGGGAGAGAGAGAGATAGGGGAGGTCATTCCGGAACTATGGTTCAGTTATTTATGAATAATTCGCTTGCGTGTATAGGGTCTTCACCAGTGGGAGGAAACCCATACGAGGTTGGACAGGCTAGGTAAATTTGTAAATGAATAAGAAACAAATGACTAATATCATTAAGTAACCAAATAAGAAATTACAGATGTATGTATGTAACGCAGTTTTATTTAATATTGAAATATTACAATTGAAACCAGTACACCAATTTATGGTACCCTTACCATGGTGACACAAGATGGATTACCCACGGGGGTATCATCCTTTGCTGAAAATGACAGAAATGCCTGACAAAAATCGTTCGGATAATGTATAATTAGATTTTCTTTTAACAAAACTGTAGCCAGACGTAGATGACTATAACTTATGTTTCCCATGAATTGGTACATTTTTAGCTCTAATTTGCATACTGCATGTTGAATTTAGGACTGCTACTTTAATTATTTATAAAATCTACAAGTAAATACATCAGACCAAATAACTATATTAATATAAAATTTAAATACGTTATCCTAACAATTTGATTCCAGCAATCATATCTCGGGGATTATGGATCCTATTTTTCTCTCGTCACCGCTGTCCTTGCAAAATTTGAACTGGACATGCCAGGGAAATGTGCATAGTTCTTTATATTAGGCACTTCTATTATTTTCTAATAATTTTGATGCAGTACCGCGCCAATATGGACTCCCGGGTACATTTCTATTACATTTGCCATTACACGGTGGCTAGATAACTGAGATTAGTGAGAGTGGTGGTTATTTTTTTAAAAAATGGTAAAGACATGCATATTATGGGCCATAGATTTTCTATGGTGTTCATAGAGCATTCTTTACCTGTGAACTGGGCCTACGCCAATGTTATTTCTGCTGGGTCAATGGATTTTTTTTCCTTACACAGTGGCTTCCCTTAGACTAGAGCTCGTACACTAGAGGTTTTTTTGTTTGTTTTTTTTAAATACTATACCATACCTGAAATTAATGAAGTGCATGAACAAATCTGACATGCTACGCTTCAATGTACCATAATGACTTTTGACGTCATCAAAATAAAAAAAAAGTTGCGAATTATTGAATCCAATATACATATATATAGCTTCAAAGGTTTTGTTCTAAAACCTGATGTTTCCTTGTTCAATAATTATCGTATTTTTTTTTATTATTAAATGAACGCCATATTTTATGCTATGGCGGCACGTGATTGTTGGCGGGATTGTTGGTTAGGGCAGGGTAAGGGTTAGGGCTAGGGTGGGGGTGGCAGACCTGAAATAGGCCTACCCGAAAAATTCCCGTTTACAGATGGCGGCGCCGTGTAGGGGGGTCTCCCCAAGAAAATTTGGAAAACTTGACGGCCGCAAGAGCGTTTTTCTGCTATTCCAGCCCATGGAATACAGCAACTGGCCTGAATTAAGTGGCTGGTCTGAATTCCAAACAACCCATTAATCGTTTAGTGCACGGATCCGCCGCCGGCCTTCGCGAGGTATGGGGAACTCGCCCTTCGCGAGAAAATTTAATCGCCGCTAGTGCGTTTTTCTGCTATTTTAGACTGTGAGTCAAGCAGCTTCAAAGTTGTCCTATGGTTAATTCCAACCGAAATTCCAATCAACCAGTCAGACTGTTGGAGCTGCAATCACAAATAATAACCAATGCCCGAAAATGTCGCACAAAGCTATAATTATGGCCCCAGACGAAACGTTTTAATAAATAGTCAATTCAGTATAAATTAGCGGTATTCAATTAAAATAAAAGTAAAATTAGATTTTTTGCACTTAATTTTAATTTTTTTAACCCGAAAGAAAGGGACGCGTATGTCAGATGCAGCAAGCCCAATGTAAGGGTGATTTGTGAACCGGAATCATATATTTTTGAGCCACAATGTCGCGGTCGTACTCAACCCCAAATGACCATCGCCAGGCTCCTGCTGCATTCTCAATCCTTACATTTTCAGGTGTTGTTTCAAGAAACCGTCCTGCAGAATAAAATTGTTGCATATGGTAGACTACAATATAATGCGGTAGTCATATAAATTGATATTTTGTTAATCACTTTTGAGGGAGAGGTATTTTCAGCTACAAATCAATATGCGTCCGTTTTATGGAACATTTAATGTTATGGACTTAATAAATTTTAAATCATCAGTTCAATGTGCGAGGTACAGGTTTGTTATTCTGCGACTTTGGAATCCTAGCAAAGTGCTGGTCATAAGTTAGACAGAAATAGGATCAATTTGGAGACAATTTTAAACATTTGGTCCCATAAAGTTATCGGCAGTGTCGTAGGCCTATTAACGAATGGCATGCCCCCCCCCCCCCCGACATCGGTTTGGTCTATATTTGTTAAAGGGACAATAACACTCTCGCTGGCTTGAAAGCGCCAGAAAATAAATAATATCTCTATCTAAGTACTAGATGTTTAAGTGTCCTACCTGTTGTGTAAATTATCCATTACATCCTATTTTACTTGTCCAGAGGGTTCGAATTTCGAAAATATTTTTAAATCGAAGTTTCATTTGAAAAGGTTTACGTTAGACGTTTCAAACCATTATGTTGAATTTTTCAAAATTTTTAAATAAGGTGTGTTAAGATGAAATTTGTATCATCAATTAATTGAAATATTCTAAAATAGTACAATTTGTTGACCAGAATAAAGATTGGGACATATTATTCAGTTACAACAAGAGTGGTATTGAGTTTGATCAAAGGCCTCGAGATGTAAACTGGACACTAATCCCAACCTTCAGCCTAACCCTGGACCTAGCCCTGATGCTTACCCTAACCCTAACCTACAATCTCGCCAATACGCGCCCTAACCTTATAGAGTTATTTACATCTCAGTGACCTTGACGAAAATTGAGCTGGCCTTAACAAATAGATGCAGCCCTCGCCCCCCCCCCCCGCCCCCCAGATATCTCGTATAGCTTATGACACTGTAAATTAGTACCCCATTAGTCCCGAAAACTCGAACAGGTTTTCAAACAATTAGATATTATTAACCGTGAACGTGTTTTAATTTATTTTGCTCTCACGTCATGTTTCTGTATTATCTCGATGTGTTCCGAAGAAAAACTCATTATGACGTCGAATTTCCACATTGACATCTTGATTTGCATAAAAAAAAAATGTATGGATTTACAATGGCAATTAATTACAATTACAAAACAATAAATAAATAAAAAAATCAAACATTCGCGTTCTTTGTTCGCAACTCGATATTTTATCATGTTTATATCCTTCCTTATTTATGAATTATTTTTTCTTTCTTATTCCGTCAGTTTCGTAAAGGTCTATATAAGTCTATAGTAAAAAACACATTTGGAGAACCCGGTCGTGTTTTAATTCGTTATCCACCTCTGCTTTCAAGCATTTAAAAGCGAAACATATTTTTCAGCAAGTTTCTCTTGGCCGAAATGGCCGACATTTTCCAAATCTTTTCTGGACGAGTGGACTTTTATTTTAACATGAAAAATATATTTTTTTCAAAAATAACATTAATCTAAAGTCTATTAGGTTCGAAATACGTCCCCAACTTGTTTACGGGCTTCACATTTTGATTCCTGTGCGTAGGCCTATTATATTTAAAAAAAAAAAAAATAGCCTATGTATATACATACATTATTACATAAATAGAAGCCAAATGAATCTACAGTGAATTAATTCCGTCGCCCTACATTTGAAAATAGGCGTTCCTTAGTTTAAAGTAGTTAAGTTTCTATAACTCAATACCATCCAAAATCTTCGACATTGAAAACAAGATTTATTTGTCGGTTTAAATCAACATTGATGTGATCTTACCGGGAAAAGATAACCTTCTGATATCCAATATTTAAGACAAAATAAACATTTTACAATTGGTACACGAATCGTGTACCATAATGCGTTTCGGCGCTATGTGTAATAAGGGACTCGAAAAACGAGGCTATGCATATTCCACAAGTCATGTCAAACGGTGACGCTATATTCTTTTCTGGAGAGTATGCCCAATAAATACTATCGGCGTAGACTGTAGTGGAATAACCAGAAACTAGAGATTGAAATTCGACTGAGAATATCTGGCGTATGTCGCCGAACCTAACTGATTAGAAATTACAGAAAAAACCCAGAAACGATTGAATGTAAATCAATTTATATACATTCATATTACATTGTTATATGCGTTGCGACCCATTTGTGTCAATTTCTAGGTCTCAAATATCAGTGACTTGGCTCCTTTAATGTATGTAGGCTACCCCTATAATTGTTAGTCTATATTATATCATCCTACTACTACTAATATTATTCCTATTATCCTATACGGGTGTGCACAATATTGCAGTGTCTTGTTTATGAAATGATATCAACTATAAATTGTGACGCACATTTTGACAGGCCATATAAATACACCTGATAAAATAAAGGATTCTTATTTTGTTCTGCTCTGAGTAAATGAAAAACGCATTTGATGATGATCTCTAGAGTAGCCTAAGTAAATTTGGGGTAATTGTTAGATAACATTTCGATATGTACACTCCTACAGCCAGATCAACAATTTACAACATTGCAATGCAAAAAGTATGCCACGATTGATAGCTTATTAATAGTATGTGCAGATAGGCCATCGTTATCGTATCGTACTGTCACTGAATATGAATCATGATTAAGGAAATCTCTAAACTAACATGTAATAGAATATTTTAATTCGCCCGATGTAGTAATACACCATACAAAGTCGACCCTTTAGCATTTTTTTTGTACTGAGAAACTTCTGAAACACACACAAATTAATTAATGCACAAATTTCGTCTCCCAGTTGAAGAGACGAATAAACCGATCAATCTCACCACTCAGAAATGATCTTCCGCGGGCCTG